GACACCTAAGACGACGAGGAATGTGTTACCGCACAATAGACCAAAGGGGAGGGTTGTAAAGTTGTAAGCGATGTAGCTGAACTGTGCTCTAGGGTTTGTGGAAGGTAGCACTTGTAAGCCAGGACACTGGTTGAAAGGATGGCTTGCTTCCTCCTGGGCACTTATGGTATATTTTGGAGGGGGATGGAGGGAAGGAATTGAGAAAGGAGTTAAGCAAAAAGGAACCAGAACATAAAGATCTGGAAAAATCTCAACTTAGTCCTATTACAAAAAATGGCAAAGCTTGTCCTGAGAAGAACAGCAAGGGTGTGGTCGAACAACCATTTCATAAGGATATTAATATGGGTGCAAACCATGGACCACCCCTGTGTAAACGTCAGCTGGAAAGTCAGCTGGAACGGAGGAAGACCAAGACAGGCTCAAAGGAAGGCAGGCTGCCAGACTTCTTAGATCCTAGAGCCCTTCAGCTGTGCCTGTGTGTGATTCTTCAAGACAAAGGAAGAATACCGCCAGAGGAGGTTCTGAGAAGATCAGAGCCACCTCCTTGGTTTAAAGGTGGGGGAAGGCATCACCTAGGTTTCAACAGGGCAGAAGGCATGGATCCAAAGCCTTGGGGACAGGGTCTCCTAGACTCTTGGTGGGCAACTCCTCCCCCACAGTTACAAAAGTGGAACTGCCATCCCAGGGTGAGTGGAAAGCAGAGCTTCAAACCCAAGAGGATTACTCCAAGAGAGCTTAAGACCTAATGGTATTTGCCTTGCTGAGTTTTGAACTTACTTGGGACCCTTCATCTTTCGTTTTTTTTTTGCTTTTGCTTTTTTTCTTTTTCTTTTAAGGCTTTATTTATTTGACAGAGAGAGTGAGAGAGCACAAGTAGTGGAAGAGGGAGAAGCAGGGAGCCCAAGATGGGACCTGATCCCAAGACCCTGGGATCATGACCTGAGCTGAAAGAAGACCCTTAACCGACTGAGCCATTCCATTTCTTTGGAATGAGAATGCTAACCCTCTGCCTGCCCCACCATTCCGTTTTGGATGCACAGAACTCTTCTGGTTTTGCAGGTTCAGAGCAGGAAAGGAATTCTGCCTTAGGATAAATCCTACCTGGAATTTCACCCATATTTAATTTATATTGTATTTAGTTGAGACTTTGGGCTGTAGACTTTAGAGTTAATGCTGGATCAGGTCAAGAATTTTGGAATTGTTGGGATGGAATGAACATAATCCACATGCAATCAAGACTTGAATTTGTTGGGTGTGGGCAGGGACAGAATGTTATGGACTTAACGGTTTCTGCCCCTCCCCCACTCATAGGTTGAAGTCCTAACAGTTAATGTGATGGTAGTTAGAGGTGGGACCCCTGGAAGGAAATTAGATTTAGATGAGGTTTAGAGGAGGTCTTTAGGCTGGGGCCTCCATTATGGGCTTAGCATCCTTTTTAAAGAAAAAGCAGAAAGAGGAGAGCTTGTGTTCTCTGCCATGTGAAGACACTGTGACAGGGTGGCCCTCTGAAAACCAGAAAGAGGTCCCTTACAAGGAACCAAACCTGCCAGCACCCTGACCTTGGACTTTCCAGCCTCCAGAACTGTGAGAAGTACATGTCTGTTGCTGAAGCCGCTTGGTCTATGGCATTTTGTTGCAGCAGCCCCAGCTAAGACTTACTTTGTTCTAAACTGGTTAAGAAATGAGACAAAGCGATTACTTATTAGGCCCCTGTGAATTTCAACATAGGGAGAGATTCTGCTGGCTCCTTTTCTCTGTATATTCATGCACAATTCAGGCCAGTCACAGTGGAAGATTTTATATGTGTTTTAGAATCATTGTTCCAAGGACGTCTAAGCACCATTCTGGCAGAGACACAATGGCTAAGTGACTACGAGAATTCCAAGGCTTAATACAGATGCCACAGATGGAATTTCTATGTTGGGTGGAAGGTGGGGCTAGTTGAAATCCAAGGTCTATCTAGTCAGAGAATCTGGCACAACGCTATACCCTCCTCCATAAGGGATCTTCTCCAGGGTCTTTAATATGGTGGGGACTGGTCAGATGCAGACATACTTATGGATAGGAACAAGTCCATTAGAGTCCAGAACATTCTGAACTTTCCTTGAATGCCCTTAATACCACCTTTTGGTGCAGGTGAAGTGGGTCAGGGCGGCCAGCCATGTTCTTTCCTGCTACTCAGCTCTGGCTGTCAGGATTCAGGAATAAGGAGAGCACTAGCTACTAGATCCAGCTGACGGGGATATGATACTTCCCAGAAATCTGGCGTGAACCTAGTCTGGGCCAGAGTATCAAGAGAGGTTTTGAGTCCCCTGAAGGTTCCACCTCGTTTCATTCCGCCATAGAGGTGCAGGCAGGTGGCTTAACCTGGCCCAGACTCAGTTTCCTTATCTGTAACACAGAACAACACCCGGCCCAGCATCCTCACAGGACTGAACAGTGGAAATCAAAATTAAAATACTGAACGAGCAAACATATGGGAAAGTAACTTTTCCACGTGAAAGACATAGGTTCCCTTTACTACTGATGTGTAAAGTCCACACATGCCTTTCGAAGTAAGACCTATTAATAATCTAAGGGAGACCCTTGCTGGATTCTTAAAAATATTGCTCTGAGTTCAACACAAAGCAGCTTTTCTTTAGAGCCTGAGTTGATTTCCACTTGTAAAAAAAAAAAAAAAAGCATGAGATAATGTTCTTTGTCTTAATTTGACAGTGGAGAGGCCCTTGAGTATTGGCCAAGAATCTAATATTGGATTAAACCAAAACACAACCATTTGCTTCCTGAACTGCATCCATAAAAATTTCGTGGTGGAGTGCTGCCTCTGATAGAGCATTTACCAAGATTGCAAGGTTTCATGTACAAGTCCACCAAAAAACAAAAACAAACAAACAACAAAAACAAAATCCCCACAAAACAAAACAAAAAACCCAAACCTGACTCTGTCTTTTCTATTCAATATACCCTCCTCATCTTTCCAAATTGGATAAAATTTGAGATGATGCCCATTACAACCCCTTGGATAGAAGTCACACTTCTGGTCCTTTCAGATCCATGTGCGAGCTCTCCAGCTCAAACAGCAACTAGGAGATATGAACGGCTCATGGCTCCCTCCTCCTGTTTGCTTTCCAAAGAGTAATAGATGGTAGAACTTTTAAGAAACTAGAAAATTTGAAGAATCATATGTACAAACTTAAGAAAAATGACACTAATCTTAAATATGAACTTAATATTAAGCTGACTTAACATAAACTCATGATCACTGGTTTTTATTCAAAGGAAATACAAATTTAAAGGAAAAACTACTGATCATATTAACAAAATTTTCACAGTACTTTAGAAGCAACATGTTTAAAGAAAAACGGTCATTTAGCTGGTTCTACATCAGCTGACTTAAACACGTCTCACGAGATTTCTTTTAAGCTTAGAAGAATTGAAAATTTTAAGACTAAACGTTTTCTAACACAATTCTCTCAACCACTTAAAAAATGTTTAAGCAACATTAAAAATAACAAAACACTGAACACTTAAGTTGCATATTTCCCCAAACTTTTAAATAGGTTGCATATCTCCATGGTTTTCTTTATTCAGGTTTCAGTTAAAATCCTGGAAGACATATCTGAGATTTTAAAAGACTGCACAGTAGTTTCTTAAATGTCTCCTTAAAGTATTAAATTCTGTGAAAATAAGTTGTAAACATTATAGGTCATGCCCCTATCTCGAAAGTATACATTCCTTCTATTACTAATCATTGAGTTACCTCTTTCTTTCCTCAATCCTCTTGACATAATGTAAACTTTATCTGAGATTTCTGCTCTTTCTTTTTTTACAATTATTTTATAAAGTTATTTTTGTCAGTCCTCTCTAAATAAGCAACTGGTCCTGGGGTTTCAAACTACGTTATCCAATGATCGTTATCTTCTCCTTTTACTTTTTTGTCAGACTCAAGGCTTGTTAGAGCCCATAAAAAAGTCTACAAACTTACCTTATGGCCGAACATTTACTTTTTCTAGAAAAGGGCAATTCCTGCAGTTTTATCCAGCTAAAGTCAAATACATCCTGCTTTCCCTTACTAGTAACCAAAGTTAACATTCAGGTCCTAGAACTCAAAGGCAGTATTGAGGAAAAAAAAAAAAAAAGAAAGAAAGAAAAGAAAAGAAAAAGAAGAAATAAAAGAAAAGAATAGACTCATTCAGCGCCCAGCCGCTGTGATTTGTGAATGCAATAGATCAACAAGTTTGCGTTTTACGCCTCCCAGGTGCCCAGCCTTGAGCAGGAACACGACCGAGTAGGCCAGGCTCTGGACCTGGAGATCAAGCCCGGTGTCCAAATGTGGAGATGAGCTCATCCCGAGCGCTCATCCCAAATGCCAGCGCCCGACAGAGCGGGCGCCCATCCATCCCGGGGCGGCACCGCGTGTTTCCTCTCAAGCCCCTCGGGCCTTCGGTTTGCAAAGGATTCCTCTGCCCTCCAAAGCAAAAGGCACCACCGCACTCGCCACCGGCGAGTCTCAGGAACCCCAGGCTCCCTTCGCCTGGGCGGGCACAAGTAGCAAAGGATCGAACCCTCATTCAGGAGCCTGCAGCCGAGCCGGGAGCGAGGGGTAACTACTATCTGCGTTTGCGGGAACCCCGGAGAAACCCTCTAAAAGGAAGGGTGGCGGTAGTGGCGGGATGGAGCTTCGAGAAGCATCTGCTACCGCCTCGGACGTTCCTTACTCGACCCGAAGTTGCAACCCGGGCGGGAGAGCACGAGACCGGGTTCCGGGCGGGGGGCGCGAGACCGGGTGTCCTAGTGGACGTCAGCGGGCAGAGGGACTGAGCAAAGGGAGAATACAAGCGATTCAAATGAAATTCCCACGCGCTCAGGGCAGCCACGGCTTCAGCCGGGGGAAGGGAGAGCGGGGCACGCACGGCGCACCCGGCTGTGCTGCGGGCACACTCGGGCTCCCGGCGCGCGGACGGGCAGGACTGACGGACAAATCCGGGCGACGGACTTACCTTCGGGGTTGGCGCTGATGAAGACCCGGACGCTTCGGCCGGCGGGCACGAGGTGAGAAGGCAGGGCGGTGAGGTTCCCAGAGAAAGCCGCCCGCCGGAGCGCAGAGTCCCGGGGACAGGGCAGTCTGGTGCCCGCACCTGCCGGCCACATCGCCCTCTGGGAGGAAGAGCCGCCGCCGCCTCCTGGTTCTTGTTTCCTGCCCGCGGCTCCGCGGAACAGCTAGGTCGATCCCCGCAGGCGGCGCGGCTCACAGCAGCCCCGAGCCCGAGGCGCCTCCGGCGAGCTCCGTGGCGAACACTACGGGCCGGCGGGGAGCGGCCATACGGACCCTCCGGCCGCTGACGCCGCCGCCTCCCGGCCCACCGGGCGTCCGCCTTCGCCCGCCGCGGGGGCTCAGCACAGCAGCCCGTGGGAGGTCAGCGTGGCGGCAGCTACGCGCGCGGCGCCCCTTTGCGCCGGGAAGGGCCCACGCCGGCCGCCCAGCCCGCGGCCATCTCCCCGCCCGCGCCTGCCGCGGGGAGAGGGGTCGCCGAGGCGGCGGGGGCCGGGTGCAAGAGAGCCAGCCAAACTTTATCTGTGAAAGGCGTCCCGACTTTATGGGAACCTACTCCCGCAGCGCGCAGGGCTCACCGCGGCTTAAAGGGCGGCGGGGGCGGGGGCGCGGGGGCCTCTGGCTGCCCATGGGCTTCCGGGCTTCTCCGAGGACGATCCCGGGCGCTCAACTAGCCCGCGATCCCTCCGACGCCTCCAACTCTCCTAAAGGTCAAACAAGACCTGAGCATTTTCGGGAATGCACGCCTACCGGCGTCGGCGCCTCTGCCTACGTGCGGGCAATCCCGGCCTCAAAGTTAGACGCAGGCACTGAGCCCGGCCCCCGAGGGTCCGAGGCAGCAAAACTCGGGACAGTCCTGAGCGTCCTGGAGGGAGCGTCGCCGTCGCCCGGCCTCTGGCGGCGCAGGTGGCTGAGTGCTGCCGCCCAGCTAGATCACGCTCAGCCGAGCGGGGGCTTTTATAGCGAAGCCGCGCTGCTCACGTGTTCCTCGCCGCGCGGTCGCGGAACCTTTCCAAGAGCGGAGCTCCGCGGGAAGCCTGCCCGAGGTCTCTAGGCTCCAGAGGGGTCCTTCCTGCCCCCGCCCTGGAGCATTCCCGGGCCACTCCGCCGGCCCCGCAGCTCCAGCAGCCCCGAGCCTCCCAGTGCGCGCCGCCCCGGCAGGCTTTTGGGGGCTCCGGTGAGCGCCACTCCACGCAAGGTCCCGCAAAGCGCAGGTGGCCACGGGTTGAGGCGGGGTGCGAGAGATCAGAGTTGGCCTTTGGCGGCTTTTCCAAGTCCTTTCATAGAGTGAGTCGGCTCCACCTGGCGCTGACCCGAAGGGGCCACAGCGGACTCCGGGACTGTGTTACCTGGAGTTGGGGTGGGAGAGCTAGGGGTGTGGTCTACTGCCGGAGTGACGCGAGACGCGGAGGGACCCAGCTATAAAAGTACCATCTCTGTTCCACACTCGCTGCACCTGCTGAAATACTGCAAAGTCCAAGATAGGAAGGAAGACCTCGTAGGATAAAAGTGTGACTGTACTGTGCACTGGGGGAAGGGAGGAGGTGTGTTTGGATCCTTAATTGGGGTTTGGTCCCCAAACCTCTGGTTCTGAGCTTTGGGGCAGGAACTCTTGTCTTCGAGAGAGGAAGAACAGCTTCTCCTAATCTTTGACATTGGAAAGGGAGTGGCTGGGCACAGGATGAAGGCAGCTCAGTTCCAAGTTTTCTCTTCCCACCTGGGGCTTCTGTTGGAGGCAGCTCCTGACCTCCTCCTGGCCTGCATTTCTCCTAGGTCCTGCTGGTGGCAGTGAAGTCGCACGCACTGCTGTTTTAATTTCTGACCCCACCCCATTCCCAGCACATGCTTTCTGGGATAACCTTTTGGAAGAATTGGGTCTCTGGGTTTTAAAAGCTGCCTCTCTGCTACTGAGAACCAGGGGGCAGTCAACAGTTCTTACTCTGTCATAATTTGATGCAACCAATAAAGCAGCCTTGAACATACCCAGGCACTTGTTCAACATTTAGCAAATTCCCTCCTTCCCCTCTCCAGCCTTATTACTCCCAGGTGGGAACATTCTCCAGCCAGAAGGAGATCTCTGAAAGATTTCCTGATGTCCCAGGAAGTAGGGACTGAGTGTGTTCTGGAACAGTTATGAATATACAGTATCTGTTCGAGTATCTGCCTTTATAAATACACAGTATTTATTACTGGGTAGAAAGCCAGGACCACTTTATGTCTAATCTCAATGTTTATAGGAAACTGATAAGAAGTTGCCAGATTGTCAGGGACCTGCTTCCTTCAGTTCTCTCCCCCCCCCCCCCCCCCCACTTGTTTGGTGGTTTCTTAAAAATCAGATTCGGTGTTTGTGTCTCCTGACCTTTGCTTCACATCTCCAAGTGTTGCACTTTCTTAGGATGACTTTGGGATTTTTGGCAGCCTCTATAACCTAATTAACTGTTCTAGACAGGCCAAAGTTTAGCATCTGCCAGTGTCACTGCAGACCAAGGATGCAGAGGAGAGAGAATTTCACATTTTCTGTTGGGCGGTGTTTTAAAGGGCTCCCTGCACAGCGAGCTTTGCACAGGTAGAGCCAAATGCTGTCTTTGGTTGTCAGGGAGGTTTCTACCTAAAGGCACCTGATCAGCCCCTCCCTTCTCCACACATCTGTGGGGGCGCACACGCACACACACATGCACACACACACACACATATACACACACATCCTTCTCTTACCTTCTTCTAGGCGTTCCGTCTCTTGCTAACATCTGATATTCTAAAACCAGAGATTCATTCATTAGCATGAAAGTGGCATAAGGGAAGTGTCAACCATGGCACTAACACTTTATTAGGAATTAACTAGATTTATTTCCCATCCTGAGGCACTATTGGCTCAACCAGTGGGGGGGGGGGACTGGAAGGAGAAAGGGAGGAGCTGGCTTGAATGTGGAAACTGGGCCCTGACTTAAAGCTTGGAGACTCTTCTGTTTTTATATATTTGTTTAAAACACTTTACATTTTCTCCTCTTCATCAAATATTGAACATGTTATTACTACTCCCATTTTACACAGGAGAAAACCAAGACTCAAAAAAGAGAAAGTGTTTGTTCAAGGTTATATAACTAATTAATGCTGGATTGGGGATCCAGTTACCGTGGATCTTATCTCCACACTCTTGGCAACAAACCTCTTCTGTTTTCTTAATTTTGCCTGGGTCTGGCCCTGGCTGCTGTCTTTAGTGACCCAGAAAATAGATCTTCAGGTCTCTGTTCACAGGTGTGGAAGGCTGCTTTCCATATGTGGAGAAGGTCTGTGTCTACAACATCACACAGGACTAGACTCTTCCAACTTACAGGATGTTGACAGGATGACAAAGACTTCCAAATTCCTGTTTTCTCTGGGTTCTGTTGTCTACTAATAAGACCACAGGTAAACCCATGTCATCCTCACAATTGGCTGGACAGTTTAAAGTATCTGGAAATTGAAAGATAAAAGTACACGAAAATAGGCTTGGGACCAAGCTTGTGATCAAGTGCAGATATTTCCCTCTCCCATCCTCCCACTCATTCCAGTGAGCAGGATGGAGAACTACAGAAGGGCATCTGATCTTTATGAAATGTTGGTCCCGATGCTGATAAAAAACAGGGCTATTCAAAGGTGCAATCACTGCTAGGTTCTTCGTACTCACAGAGCCAGGATGAATGGTGTGGTTCTTGGAATCCAGCTCCCCTGGAGATATGATAATGCCCCCTCGCAAAGTAGTTTTGTGAAACAGGAGGAAGGAAACTTAGTCTAATATATTGATAAACTGAATGCCCGTAAGCTAGGCACTGTGTTAGGTTCTTTCAATGCCACAATATCTGGGGCCAGGGCCCAACACCTCTAATATCTCCACTGCTGTCGCTTACATATCTTTTATGATGTGCGTATATCACCTTTTGTGATGTACATGCAGATTGTCCTGTCCAAAGTGCATGTTATGCAAATATACCTCACCTACTCCCCTCCCCTGCGATGGTGGTGGTTTTTCACTCATGTGCATGGCTGTGTCACTTGGCTATTTCATCCTGCTTAGATGACAGGGCTGGTGATCATAGAGCACACAACCAGAACACTTGTGACTGACTCTGACCCAGCAGAAGGAAGAGCCATCACTCACCCTGTATTTACCTATATGTGTACTCGGTTTTCTATACATCAAATATTCCGGATTCTTCTGGACCAGTGTTCTATATTTGTCCATGTGGATAGAAGTGGAGACAGAGTCCCAGGGTTATAAAAATGACCAAGTTATCACACCACACTATTGGAAGGAAGCCAAGGAAGGCCAATGATGTGTTTTCATGTTTCCCAGACTTGAAAAAGAATATCAAATTTAATATTACATCAGGGTTCAAGGTGGCTCTTGGATTTGGATGATCAGTGTTTGAATCTGTTTTGCTAATGTGGGGAATGGATGATATAGGTCCATTCAAATGAGGACTCTGCTTTCCAAGTTTCCAGCTCAGGATAGAAGCTGGACCATCAGGAACCCACTTACTTGTTTACAAAATGGAAACTTTGGGTGTATGTGAGAATTTGTCAGCCTAACAATTTGCCAACAGAGACTGTTGACTCGGAGGTGTCTGTGGCATGATGGAATTAAATAAAGTTACACCTTTCTGCAATTGCTATCTGATGTTTTCATGACTCAGAAATTCTAACTTTACATCCACCCCCTTCCAAATCTGTTTAAGGTATTTTTTGATCAGTCTGCTTCTTACAACTTTCTAAACACTCACATTGTTTTGCAAGCACTATTCATACCACACAAAGTAGAAGAAAGTAAGGTAACTTGCTTAATAAAATATTGTAGATTAATTCATACTTCTAAGTCAGATGTTTTATTTTCATTTTATGATTGTCAAATATTTTCCTCCTCATGACATTAATCTTAAATATAGTACCTTTATAGATCTTCTCTTTTGTTCCTTCATCTGATACTTGTTTGGAGAATTTTAGAAAGCTCTTTCATACATTTTAACTCATTTTGATTCTAACCCTGAGAGGCAGGTTCTGCATTAACTACCGTTCTCCTGCCCACATTTTTTTTTTTTTTAATATGAGAAAGCAGAGCAAGAGATTTTAGTGGCATATCCAAGTTCATTCAGTTGGTGGATGGCAGAACCAGTATTAAAACTAAATCTCTGAACACCAGACCATGGATTTAATTACAGTGTATCTCATGGCTACCAAAGTATAACAAGATCCCAACCCAGGATCGATTTGGCCAAACTGATGGACATCACTTGTACCTCTCCACAAAATTTACACTGGGTGTTAGGCAAGCCAGATAGTATAGGGGATAAACACTCTTTGGATTACAATGTTAGTTACATTGTCTATTTACATTGGTTTCTATATTTTTTGTTGAGTAAAAGCTAAGTTCCATATCCTTTAATTTCATTAACAGCCCAGTTTTGTAGATGAGTAATAAGAGACTCAGAGTTTAAATAATTTGTCCAAATCCAGATATGTAGTAAATGGCAAAGATAGAATGTGAACCAGATCTCTCTCCCTGTTACATTAGATGGGGTCTTTCTAGCAGGCAACACTAAAGCCACATGAATAAGCCAAG